ATTTTTTTAGACTTTCTTTCTAGATGTCTTCCTTGCAAGAAATTCAACAATAGGGGTATTAAAAACAAGAATTGGATTCAGACTAAAGCAATCTCATAAAGCCAATCCTAGTTGGATATCATTTTCACATTTAGTGATGTCCAAATGTCAGGGTAAAGGTAAATGGAAAACCTCCCACAAATGGTTAGCTCAAAAATTCATCATGTTAATTACCCATTAAGTTGAAAACAAGTATTCAAATCAGTTCTTTGCCATTTTAACGACTATAGTTGTCACCATTGAATGGAGCCTTGCTTGATGCCTGTGAACAAAGACCGTTTGTAGTTTGCCTAAACAAACTTTATATTAGTTTTGATCCCCACTTCCATATTGTAATTTTTACCTGCAATGACATTTCTTCACAGTGAAACTAGCAGCTGATATTTGATCCATTTCTACTACCTTTGTAAAGTCCTTATTTGAAAAATCTAAAAGCAGAGAAGATCAAACTAATAAATTCCCCCTTTGACACGATCAACTCATCTAGAACCAGTTGAAATTTGAGATGCAGAAAAATCGTATAATGTTAAAGGCAGATGTTTGAACCAAAAATAGAGTTGATGTTCAAACAAAGCAAAGAACTATAAATTGGTGATGATGACTGGTGTATTGTCCATACACAGAAGGATTTATATCATAAAATTATAGAATATAATCTTGAAATGGCTAACCATAAGCAGCTTGTCTGTTGTCTTCTTCTGCTCCTGTCTCTGGTTGGATCAAGCATGGCTGCTCATTCCAATTCCAGTGATGATTTGTTTGAATGGGTGCAACAAGATAATCGCCGGTTCCTGCATGCTGTTATCAGAGTCAGCGATCTCAATCGCACCATTAAGTATGATATTTCTTCAAAAAAAAAAAAAAAAAGTTATCAAGCTAAAGCAGTTTAACTGGCATATGTTATGAACTAATTTTTCCATTCTTCTTCCTCTGCTTTATTACTGTTAGGTTTTACACAGAAGCCTTTGGGATGACGTTGTTGAGGAGAACAGAAATCCCAGAAGAAAAACACTCAAAGGCAGTCATTGGATATGGCCCTGAAGAATCTCATTTTGTCCTGGAGTTGATACAGAGTATACTGTCTATTTGACTTTACATATAACATAAGCTGCCATTTCTTTACATACTTCTATGCATATTCAGGATGAATGCCTTTTGCCTACACCAAAGATGATACTAATTACCTCATTCTATCCTTCACAGTCTATGGGGTGGACAAGTTGGAGATTGGAACATCCTTCGGACATTTTGGGATTGCAAGCCAAGATGTGTGTGTCATAGAGTGATCTAAATCACATTCATTAAAAATTCAGATTACAAAATTTAGTTGTTACTTACCCGTCTGAATCTTCAGGTTTACAAAACGGTGGAGGAGATTCGGGCCAAGGGTGGAGTCGTCACACGTGAACCAGGGCCAATTCAGGAAGGGGGCACAACCATTTTTGCCTTCGTGCAGGATTTTGATGGCTATAGCTTTGAGATCATTCAGAGGCCTCCAACTCCAGAACCACTTTGCCAAATAATGCTGAATGTAGCTGATCTCGATCTTGCTATTGAATTCTATGAAAAGGTACAGCAATTCTAAGCATGCTGCATTTTCTTCAGTTTACATGTATGTTTATGTTTAATCAATCGAAGCTACCTATCTTTACCCACCAACCCTGTGCAGGCCTTGGGCATGAAGTTACTACAGAAATATGATATCCCTCAGGAGCAGGTAAGTAAATTAACCTGTAACTTCTATACAACCATAAATGTAGATTACAAGATTTGAGACTCAGATTCATACCTGCACGGAAGCTTTAGCACTCCAGGGTACAGGATCATTTCTTTGACGTGTTTTTTACTGGACAGTTTGCCATTGCTATGATGGCTTATGGATCAAACTTAACTCAGACAACTGCCGTGGAGTTGAAATATAACTATAATGTGACTGAATACACCACTGGAAATGGATACGTACAGGTCAGTTTCAACAGCTTAATTTCTGGTTCATTTTGATGAGTAATATATGAAGGTTACCTGATGCAACATTGAACCCCATCGCTAGGTTTCTATAAGCACTGACGATGTATACAAGAGTGCTGCTGTTGTCACACTGGTCAGTCAAGAACTTGGAGGAAAGATAACCAGACTCCCAGATCCAATCACCAGAATCATTTCCTTCCTTGATCCAGATGGCCACAAAACGGTTGGTCCTTGAGTTGAGACACAGCAGTTTCAATTATAGCTACTTAGTAATCTCCATCTGATTATCTAATAGTATTATTTTATTTTCCAGGTTTTGGTGGACAACAAAGATTTTCTCAAAGAAGTGCAGAAGAAAGAGTGATAAGTAACAATTCTAAGTATTCAGCTCCTTCCCATGCGTTCACGTTGAACTTGAATAAAAATCATGCTCTGACCAGCATCTACTGTAATAACAAGTTCGTTTGTACATTTCTTAAAATCATGTTCTGTTTATCTTTCTTCTGATAAGTTGAATAACAATCTTGGTTTAGCACGTTCCTAACAAGATGCAAATTACCACTGCTAACATAAAGAACGGATATATAATTGAAAGCCTATTGAACAAGACAAGAAGTCGGTGGTTAATAAGTTGACCAACCTGCTGAAACATATTCTCCAGCACTGCTTCAACTAAGACCTTTGGCCCTATTTTGAAGTATCAGAGATCCAGTATAACTTGCATCAGGTACAGTTATTCCACTAGTTTCCTCAACAAGTTCTTGAAGTAATCCTCATTATATTCTTTGTTAGATATGAATTGGAGTTCAGAACAGAGTGCCAGAACTTCAAAAGGATTCAAATGTTTCAGAATCTCTGGGTCTCGATCATAATCCTAGTAAATCGTAACTTGTATTAGGCAGCTTCCAGCAATAGTCAAAGGCACAATACTAAGAGCACCTGCTATCATAACTCACCTTTTCGGTAACTACTAAAATTGGCTTGCAACAAAACTTGTCTTCGAGTTGTCTAAGTCGCATTCTCATCATCCAAATATCCTACATTGATTGACAAGAAGAAATTATGAACTTGCCACTAGGATGTAATCTAATTCAAATTTTAAAAGTAAAATGGAGAAAAACAAAATGCACAAATTTTTGACAAGGTTTTCAGCTTTTGTTCTTAATCCTATAAGCTTATTTAAACTCTGATTAAAGTATTTGTTTTTAGTGGAAGCCAGAACATGCAAAGGAGAGAATGCAAAAGAATAAGAATATGACGCAAGAAAAGAATAAGAATCATACCTCAATCTCAAAAGAGTGATGGTCACTAAATTCCAGTCGGTCAACGTATAATGCCCCCATCTGACAACCACCATGTGCAGAGAAAACCATGGATAAGGCAATATAAGGGATGAGAAAGAGAGAACAGTTGTGGCAATTCTACACCATACATTACTAAAACATGAGTGTAAAATTTATGGAGTTTAAAACTTTAAACAAATTATGTCTGACAGCAACAACAACAAGAACAGTGACATGGGGAATCATACCTTCTCCATTTGCTGCACAAAAGCATCTGGAGAACCAATTGCAGAAACACATAAAACAGTCGAGTTGCAAACAGCTCCTAAATGTATTTTGATGTTAACATTTCCCACTTCAAAGAAATGTGAGGGAGCCATTCTTGTGTAGAAAATAGGAAGTGATTCTTTAATTTCTTGCATCATCAATTCAATATCTTTAAGATCCTGTTCTAATACCTGTATGATTCAAAACAGAAGCTTTTAGGTCAATCCATTTCCTTAACCCATCAGCCAAGACCCAAACACATGTTGGTTGGCCTGCATACAGGCAAACACAAACACACCCCTGAAAGGAAAATAGAATCTTTACCTACAACAATATGACATGCTAGAAGGCATGTATCATATTGTGCAAATTTTGTCAAGATATTAGAAACGCATTGTATTGTACAAATTTGGTTCAAGCATGAGAATTTTTTACAAATAAGAAATAAAAAGAAATGATGCAAAGCCACATACCCAGTCTGCATGATGGACTACAGCAACATCTGCTCGTCCAAGTGCGATCAGAGGTTCCCTTAAGGGTCCAAGAGGAAGTAATTGGAGATTCCCCCAGGGCATTAAGCCGTTAACCATCACTATCTCTAGATCACGGCACAAGCTCCAGTGCTACCTTCCATACATATTTTAGGATATAAGATATCAGTGAAGTTTCCTGCTAAAGGACAATAGCTATATAATGAGAATCAACATCTAGAGCAGGACTTCATATTCAAAATTAATTGGGGGCATAATGATCTCTCATCCACCATATCAAAATCTAAACTTTTCAAGAGGAGGTATTTCAGCGCATTTGTTGTTGTTCTTAGGAAATAATTTTAGGTTTTTTTTTTTTTTTCTTTTAAGGACTTGAATACATGGACAAAACCTTCATACACTAGAGGGAGCATGGAGAAAGCAACTCACCTGCATTCCATCGTCAAGAATTGCAGCACCAATTTTCTCTGACCCAAGATGACTTCTCATTGTCTCATTAACACTTTTTCTCTCAGACGATCTACAACCATAAACTACATAACCATACTTTCTAAAGAATCCATCAGCTGTTGCAGCCCGATTTGCACCTACACCAATTTTAGCAGGCCCCCCAATAAGATGCCTCCGCAGCATTTTAGCTTCATCTCCACCAGCATAACCCTGCCAGAGAATTCATATCAATTTCAAACAAAGCCAACATATTCACACATGAAAAGTTACCACAACTAAGGAGTACATTTTTAGCTCTATTTTCCCACTAGACATCCCTACTATGTCATTATCAACCAAGCCTTCATTCCTAAAAAATCAACAACATGAATTCCCACAGAACCAAAGTGCAACTCGAATCTATTTACAAAATTTTACACATAAACACTTAATCAATGTGGCATATATGAATTTGCGAAGCATTAAAATGAAAATCATAGAAAACCATCAATTACCCTCGTTAAAATGAGGGGTGAAATTCCACAATCTGCCAAGTACTTAGCGATGAACTCAACCATCGGCGTCTTCCCATTGCCTCCCCACGTCAAATTCCCGACACTTATGACCGGCACAGGCAACCTTCAAAATGTAAATTAAGCCAAACTAGTTTCGTTAACAGAACAGCATAAACACATTAACCGGTTCCACATATCAAATTAAACGAAACAGAAAAGCTTCAGGAGAACGGAGGCTCATCGGACCTGTGCTTGGAGAAGGTACCGGAGCGGTAGAGAAAATGGCGGAAGGAAAGAGCGACTCTGAAAAGAGAAGAAGCAAAGGAGAGGAAAGGGATGAGAGAACGATGAAGCGTAGATAGCTTGGCGTGATCCTGAACATAGGCGATCTCCTTCACTGCTCTCCGCAGTTTCTCCATCCGCAGCAACGAAAAGCAACGCCTCGGGGACAGAGGTTGAAGGAGACGTGCCGTGGCTCTTAAAAGGTGAAAAGGATTTTCCAACTTCTGCCTTAAGCAGATGTTTTGCCACTAATCTCCGAATATTGGAAAAGTTA